CTGGGGTCCCTGACGTAATGCAGGGTCATGTCGCGGGTCAGCTTCTCGATGTCCTCGGACTGGTCGCTGCCCTTGATAGGTACGCGGGTGATGCCAGGCAGGTCGATGAGCGTGAGATCTGGGGCGCCTGACGACGACGACGACGACGACAGACGACGATGAAAGCAACGATGACGACAGCGGCAGCGGCGACGGCGACAGACGACTGGCGACGATCGACGATCGAGGATGTTGTATGTGTGTGGCCCCTTTGGGCCTCTGGAAGCCTCCAGGGAACACTGGAGGGAGCAGGGGGGCCAGGTCCTGCGGCCTTCAAACAAGGCACCAGAACATCGGAAGATATCGAACTTCCTTAAGAACATCAGAACGGAACTGGTTGGTCGGTTTGGACATTTGGGCAACGTTACCAGGCCCTGGGACCATCAAAAACGATTCAGAAGATCCCCGCAAAGGGGTCGAGAGGTCTGGTGGCCACATATTGAAACAATCAGGGCATCGGAGGTCTGAAAATGGGAGCGGCCTTCCAACATGCAGGATGCAGGGGGCTCCTTGGAAGGGATCGCACACATTGAAAGCCATACATACAATCATGCTACACGTTCAAATGAATGTTATGCTGTGTTACGTTGGCGTAAGGCGCGTGATGTCACGCGCTGACCTCCTGTGCCTCCTGGGAAGCGGGTGAGTTGCTTGAAAGGTCGCCCGCCTGCTTCGAGGTTACCAGAGGTGATCCTGCCCAAAGGCGATCCAAGCTCGCGCACCCCTGTGGAACACCTCCGGTCATCTGGGCCTCGGAACGATCCCTTCAGGCCTTCTAGGCTCTCTGGAAAACCTGGGGGTCACCTTGAGCCTCGGGCCAGGGTCACACCTAACAACATCCGACCTGATCCTACCTACTTTTCCGCTCAGACAGCCAGACCTGTGGCGTAGACTGTGAGGACGATAGGGTCGTTCACAATCCCCTTGTTCTTGCCGGCCACTTCCTCCGTCTGCCGCTCGATCTCCGCGCGCACCTCATTGAAGTCGGTAAACTTCTGGCCGGGGAGAACCTTGTCGAAGATGCCCCAAGCGTCCCCCGGCTTGTACTCCTGGGTATTGAGGTGCACTAGCCTCAGCTCCAGCGGCCGACGCGTCACCACGCCGCCGCCGCGGGGCAGGAAGTCCTTGCCCACGATGGACTCGATCAGCGAGCTCTTGCCGCTGCTCTGGGTGCCTATGGCCGCGATGCGCGGGAGGCTGATGTCAGAGAGCCAGAAAACCACACAGACGTGCAAACTTCCGGACGTCCCGAGGAGGGCAGCTTCCTCGGCCGGCGATCGATGATGTGGTAGATGAAGAGAAATCAGGACTGGCGAATGCGGGTGCGCGATTGCACCAGCTTGCCGCACACAGCTCGCACCACATAGCTCGCACCAGATAGCTTGAACCACAGAGCTTGCCCCACATAGCTCAAACATCCAGTATGCGGGCACTCACTGCTTGGGGGCCCACGCAGGCAAACACGGGTGTGCCGTTTCCTGGCGCTCTGGATGTAGTTGTTCAGCCCCACGTCGCGCAGCTCGTCCACCACCGTGATGAGCTGCCGCAGGTTCTCGTAGAGCGCCGACATGGCCGCCCCCAGTGCGGGCCCTCTGGAAGACCGGACCTCTCGGGTGCGGCCCGCGACGCGCCGCCCCCCGCGCGAGGAAAAGAAACGGCCTCTGCGGCCAGCGCCGGGGGAGGGGGCGGGGCGGGGCCAAAAACGGCCTGCGCCAGGAGGGGGAGAGGCTGGAGCCGAAACGGCCTGGCGGCAGATGAGGCAGGCCGAGCTGCGAACCTCGAGAAATCCGATGCCCTGATTTGCTCAATACGGGGGCCCCAGGAAGCCGCGACACTTTGACCAGGGCCAACTTTTCTTTTACTGTCGGGCCCAGCGAGGGTCCCCTTAGGCCGGACACGGCGAACAAGAACTTTGCCCCGCCTGGCCCCGCCTGGTGGCCCAGGACCTGGCAGGCCGATGACCTGCGACGAGGCGGATCATGGCTGCCAACCCCCAAGGCCGAAGCGCGGGAGGGGGTGGCGGGCGGAGGTCTGGGCGGTGTCCGCCTGGAGGCGGGAAGAAGGAGAGCTGACTTCTTCCCCGTCCTCCCCCTCCTCCAATTCCTCCTCCTCCTTCCCTCCCTCTCGTCCTCTCCCTCCTCCTCCATCCTCCCCTCGTCCTCCCCTTTTCCCTCCTCATCCTCCGTGTTCCCCGCCGTCCCCCCCCCTCCCGCCTCCTTTCCCCTCCCTCCTCCTCCTCCTCCTCCTCCTCCTCCTCCTCCTCCTCTTTCTCCTCTTCTTTCTCCTCCTCCTCCTCCTCCGCCTCCTCCTCCTCCTCGGATTTTCCCGTTGGACTAACATTAGGTATGAAGTCTGTTGCGTTCTTGAAGTTGTACAAACGAAAAATACCGAAGTCCGACTCGGGGCACGAAGTACCAGGCAGGCACCGCAGGAACAGCTGTAAAAAAAAGGCGGCGACAATCATAGAAGTAAGAGCAGGAGCCCGCCAAGTACTAGAGGTCAACGCGTACCTCCGTATGAAGAGTCCCCTGAAGTACCTACGTGTAGTAAACAATAAAGCTAAGCCCCATGTTAGTCAATGGTACGCGCTGCCGCATGTAAAAGTAACAGCAGAAGCAAATTGCACCGTACACCAGAAAGAGCTGATGGACGAACGCAATCAGATGTGAGGACTAAAACTACAGAGTGTGTTGTTTTGTAGGGTGGCGCTGTAAGAGGCTGGCCTGGTATGCTCTCTGGCTCTGGTAGGGTCATTGTAGCGCGCGCGATAAAGTGGGGCCACTCCCAGTGAATCAGGGGGTCCCTAGAGAAGAATAGTTTGGAGGTCCGTCGCACCACGTCCACCCATAGGTCGAACGAAACCCGTCACCTCATCCCACCCCCAATCCCAATTGCATAGGTCCACGAGGCTGGCTTTGTAAACGGCTGGTCTGAGTGGTACCCTCTGGTAGGGTCGATACCTAAGAACGCGCGATCAAATGGGCCGCTCCCTGTGAGTCCAGACGTCCCAAAGTAAGAATTGCCGTGGAGGTCAAAACGTGAACCAGGAGAAGACGAATGTAAATGTGGCGGCAACTTTCGGGCTGCCACCCAGGGTTTTGGGGCTCACCCCGAACCACCTGGACCTGGGGCCGCGTGCTTTTGTCGATTAGTTTCGGGTTTAGCACGAATCCTTTGTGACTGCTGGCTGTAGGCTGGCGCGTCAGTAGCTGGCCTGGTAAGCTCGCAGCTGCTGTATGCGATACGAAAGAGGCTGAGTATAAGCCTTCAGGTAGGAATGTAAAGATGGCCAATCAAGTATGGGGTTCTCCCTGCCAGTGTATTGTGGGTCCCTAGGTGTGGCCAGAATGTGGCTCTTGAGAAGCCCGTGAGGCAGGGCTGAGCGCTGCAAGCAAGTGTTCCTCTCCCCCGATGCACGATCCCATCGACCAGTACGGATGATGGACGCAAGCTGCAGTGTAACAAAGAAAAGAGATCGTGGAAGTAGTGCGCTCAAGGTCGCTGGCCCCTCGGCCTGCTGCCGGAAGGAGGGGGGAGGTGTCAACACACTGGAGGTGGAAAGTTAGGCTGGCCCTGTGGGCTGGTCTGTACGAGATGTACTGGGAGCAGCTGCTGTATGCGGAACTGAGAAGCTGAATCCATATATATATATATATATGTTTATATATGTGTGTGTGCCTTTAGACTGGCCTGTAAACTTGGCCCAGCAAATATGGGGGTCGCCCTGCCAATCGGCTGGGGGTCTTGAAATGTGGCCAGAAATGGCTCTTGACATGCCCGTGAAGTAGGGCTGAGCGCTGAAAGCAAGCGTTCCTTTTCCCAGTCCCAAACGTGTATCTCCAAACTTCCACCGACTGCCTTAGGTATGGGTAGCAGCGCTTGCAAGAGTTGATGCATGCTGTGAAAAGGTAGATGCAGGCGAAAGGTTGAGCGAGGGAAAGTCAATAAGGAGGAGGCGCTGAAACTGATCGACGCAAGCAGCAGTGTAAACGAAAATAGAGATCGTGAAAAGTAGTGCCCTCATCGTCGCTGGCCCCTCGGCCTGCTGACAGGAGGAGGGAGGAGGGTAGTCAGAAGCTGATGTTCTGCGGTCATCGGAGAAGGAATGGTGCTGCGGGTCAATGTCGCGGTAGGTTCTGCTCCATGCTTCCGATGTGACACGTATGTAACAGCTGTACTCGGTATGGTAAGTCATGTGTGGTTAATGCCGTCGTTTGGACTGGTTTGTTGCGGTCTGGGTGTCGGTGGTGCCTTGAAGATGCGTGGTTGGGCCTTGTACGGCGGCGCTTCCTTGAAAGAAATATCGTGCTGGAGGCTGCGAGTGTGGATAATGGCGAGGTGCTGCTCATATCGTGCTTGGCGTGAGCGTACTGTGTCGATGTACTCGTGGAAGCGTGGGTCCCATATGCCTTGCACGAAGCTGTGTCCACGACTGTCGGCCACGTGTTGCTGCACGTATATGATGCGTGTATCGGGGATGTCGTACGCACCTGAGATGGGAAATAGATCTGTAAGGTGGCGTAGGTATGTGGTGCCAGTCGGTGCATGGGTATTTCTTGTAGCCATCGCTGTGTCATCATGTCATCGTAAGGTGGGCAAACAACAGGTACCTTGAGCGTTGGTGGTAGTGGGTGTATGGGTATAGCAACTCTTGTTGTAGGTGGCCATGTGGTGATGGCCTTCGTGTGTTGTGCTGCAGGTGTGGCTGCGAATGTGTTGGAGATGATGGTGTGTGGTAGACCTCTGCGGTGTTGTTGTTTTTTGGGGCAACTGGTGTAGCCCGCAGTGGTGGCGGTTGTTGGCAGGTGGTATGTGTGCTGCGTTGGTGGCAGAAATTGCCCAAGAAAGCCCCAATAAAGACCGAGCGCCTAACAACGCCCTAAGAGCGCCACCAGACGGCCCCAAGGCGCAACCTGCGAGCCGCCGAGGGGGGGGGCCTGAATTTACACCCCCTCCTATTTTTGAACACTGAACCTAAATTGCCTCAAGAGGCCTCCCAGACCCCCCCAAAGAGCCCCTAGAGGGCCCCTAGACCCTCAAAAAAAGCCCAAAGAAGTCCCCAAGAATGGCTCCTCGAGAAACCCAGGAGAGATCCAAGATGGCTCCAAGAGCCCTCCAAGAAAACACTTCCAAGGCGGTTGTTACACTGCATGCTTCTGCACTTCCCTGATCAAGCCATCTCGCCTGGCAAGATGTTTCTGGATCGTGAAGCGTCAAGAATTTCGGCTTCTGGAGGCCACTTTCGAGCCCCGGGACAATCAACTATGCATCCAGCACCAAAAAAACTGCCCCTGAGGAAGGGAACGGGAGCTCTTGGGCCGCGAAGTGAAAATTCAGATCGGCGGATTTCTGGAAGCGCCGCCGCGTTCCGCACGCTGCAGCCCACGAGGAGGGCTCTGGATCACCACAGAGATGGAGGGACAACGTTCAAGGCTGATAGGGACCCCTCGGGGTGGAGGAAGACCCCGCACATCCTATCGTTTGAAAATAAATCACGACGGACAGTTTTGGGGAGTTTTCGGCTTCTGGGGGCCCTTACTGGGCCTGGAGGCAAAAAGGATCCACGATGAGAAACCGGTCCCTGTGACAAGGCCAAGACCTCCAGTAGCCCGCGTTGCAAAATTAGCCTGGCGAACGACCCAACCATATGCAGCTGCGAGTACCGCAAGACAGGTGTAAAGTAAGGGAGGGGGCTAGCCAATGGACTAAGGCGTGCGTGGCAAGGACGGAACGACTTTGCAAACAGTGTCGCCGAGGCCGGCCGTGACGGGTTACATTTGGATGCAGCCCGTCACGGCTGATCTGCGAATTGTGAGAAAGGTGTGCAGAAATGGGGCGGCGGTCACGCATGCAAATCCTGCCATTCGGGCCTTCGGTGGAGTTCCCTATGAGGCCACGACACGTGTGAGGGGTGTGCGGACATGGGCGCGGTCACGATTGCGATTCCTGCAATTGGGGCCTTCGGTAAACCACCCTGGAGCTCCCTGTGGGGCCACGAAGCGTGTGAGGGGTGCGCCGAAATGGTGTGGAGAAGGTATGCGAACGCAGCCACTGGGGCCTTCGGTGGAAATCCCGTTCTGGCCACGAAACGTGTGATGCGTGCGATGAAGAAGGTATGCGAACGCAGGCACTGGGGCCTTCGGTGGCCGATGAGGCCACGAAGTGTGTGAGGGGTGCGCCAGAAGTGCACGAGCAGGTATGCGCACCCAGCCACAGGGGCCTTCGGTAGAGCTCCCCGCAGGGCTACGATACGTGTGAGGGGTGCGCCGGCACCGCATGGAGAAGGTATGCGAACGCAGCCCCTTGGGCCTCCGGCGGAGTTCCTTATGGGGCCAAGACACGTCTGAGGCGTGCGCCGACTTGGTGAAGCTATGCGAACGTAGCCACCGAGGCCATCGAGGGAGTTCCCGATTGGGGCCCACGAAACGTGTAATATATGCGCCGACTTGGCATGAAGGATGGTGCAAAAGAGGCATGCGTACGCAGCCACTGGGGCCTTCGGTGGAGTTTCAAAAACGGCCCACGGAACGTGTGAGAGGTGTGCCGAACGTGTGGGGAAAACGTGCGAAC